GCCTTGTGCACTGCGGCCGCAAGGGTTGGCTGATGCGATCGCTGACGGGGTCATCGTGGTTTGCAGATAGTCAAGTGCAGTAGTCGTCGTTGAAGGCAGGAAAGCTCGTTTAATGAAGTACAAAACCGACATCGCAGACTTGACTTCCTTTGCGCAGTGCAGAGAGGGTTTAAGCGAGGGCGTGATCCAGTCTACCAAATACTTCCGGGCGTCCATTTCGTTCAGTGGTATGCCATTTGGTCGGTTAACAGTACGATTTGAAGGAGTGAGTTTGTTGACTCATATGATGTTGCACTTGGTCTCATTGAACGGCAAGAGCCAGTCTTTCGGCCATTTTGGAGACGATTTAGGTTCTCTTCATCAGCCGCAGTTCGAATGACCCGCCAAAGGTTGATATCATCGGCAAACATGTGTATATCACAATAGAGTTCGCTGGCGCAATTGTTGGTTTAAACAATGAACAGAATAGGGCCGAAAACGGAGCGTTGGGAACATCACTCTCAATCACAACCTTGGCCAACTGTTTTTCGCTTATATAAACCGTTTGTGAGCAGCCGATTGGGAAGATTTCTATCCATGCCAGAAGCCTATCTCTTACTCCTTTGCGGCTGTGTGGCGATGGTGTGGCACGTTATAGAAAGCCTTCTCGAAGTCCATACAGACTGCGTGCTCCGTATTCTGTGTATCGACTATCTCGGTCTAGCGTTCTAAACAATAGAGCAAATTTTTCCCGCTGGACCTACCTCTACGTAAATCGTGCTGGATACCGAAAAGCATGTGGTTATGTTCTAGTTGGTGCTTAATTATTTTTTCCATAATTTTTTCAGCAAATTGCAGTTAGGGTGACCGGTCGATAATTGCTGTGGAGACCCAGTTTCCACCCTTATAGAGCGGCGTAATCCTCGCAGATTTCCAGTCGGCCGGTAGATATCCGGTCTCGAAAGATGCTCGGAAAGGCGTAAAGAGTGGTTTGGCTAACTCACTGGCGATTTCTTTCAACATCTTGGCCGATACTTCATCGGGAGCCGGTGACTTAGATTCTTTTAATCTTAGCACTTCCTTAAAGTCAATAGCCTTGGTGAATTGAACAGTCTCGACTATTGTGTCCACTTCGTAGTCATTGGCAGGGTAATCGTATCCCGCTTCATTTATAAAAAATTACCGGAAAAAATCTGAAAGATGATCAGTTCTCGTTTCGTCTTCAGTAAAGCTTACACCCTCGGCGGTCCTCAGCAAGGATATAATAATAAATTGAATATTTAATGACCAAGGGGCGCCTTCACTATCAGATCCTTACTTCGTCTTTTTTGTCCGAGTTAACTGTAAAACAGTTTTGGGTTCACCGTCTCACGGTTCAATTTGTCCACTTCGAACTTCCGTCTTGTTTAAAGAATAAGGTGCAGGAGTTCTATCCGCAAGCTATTTTTTTCTAGAGTTTCCGCTTTTTGCTAACTCCTATTTTTAAGGCCTGCGTATGCCATCGAGTTTTGTTGGTCAATCTCTTCCTCTAAGTCGGACAGTGGTTTTCGATGAACCTGTGCAGTGTCCCGGAACCTTTCCAAGTCTTCGGTTATGTTTCCAAAGAATAAAGAGCCTCACACAATGCGCGCGAGTCCGGCTATCATTCGATAAAAATCGCCTCACCAACTATTTCTTCCGACTATTGTGAGTCGCTCGGATATTGAATATAGCGTGTATTTCCGTGGCAGTATAAAATGGTCAATTTTACCTAGACGTGACACTTAATCGATGTTATCTTGCGATTTCGTGAGATCGAGGTCCAGGCAATTGGACTGCTTGCCTTCGCGCACCCTTATTGGAAACGTAAAGTGCCGCGTGAGAACTAACTTCAGCGTCATGTTCGAATGGCAACCGTCAAAGGCCAGATCAGAGACATGTGCGTAGGCTGAACTTCAGTCGATGTGAAGCGCGTTAAACTCACCCACGATCAGGATATCCGACTGTGCAGCAATGTTTTCAAGCTCCTCTAGCAAGAAAGCATAAATTACGAGATCTCTTCTCGTGGTCGGTAGAGTGTCAGAACATCGAGACTTGATGAACCTTGTTCTTTAATGGATAGCCAGATCGCCCTTGGATCACACGCCAGTTTATCTGTTTTGCCTAAATCTACAAGTCAACTTTTCTCGTATGTGAGTACGCCTCCTCGTTGACGCCCTTTCCTGCTTTTTCTAAGGAATTTGTAGCCAGGCAAAGTTACCTCGTAGTCGTCCACATGTTTGGACAACCAGGCTTCGGTTAGGGAACCTATGTCTGCAGATAATTCGCCGCGATGAATCTTCAGCTCGTCAAGCTTTGATAACATATTCTGTGCATTGGTGCGCAATAAAATTAGCTTTCGATTTGTCCGGGAGGTGGTTACGGTCAGGTTCGACCCGCAATCCATTGGGTTAACTGTACGGTAATCCGGAATGGACTTGTCCAGGGGAAGAAGAGCGGACGCTGGATTACTTGGTTATTGTAACTAACCAGCTTTGTTCCTCTTCGCTGAGCCTCTGTCTCAGTTCGGTAACAAGCTGA